AATTTTAATTTCNATCTCATATCATGAGGTTAAATTCAGGATTAAGTTATCTTTTTTATGATTCGATGTAGCTTACCACTATTTCTTTATTAGACATTTAGACACAAACGTTTGCCCATGGCTTCCCCCGCGTTGAATTCAGTGTGTCATCAACCATAGATTTAGGTTTTTTTGCTGCTATATCTACGATGTCAACTTACGTATACATTTATTGTTGTAATTTGTTCAATTAACTCAATACCGCGAGGTGTAGAGTGCATTTTGTAATTCCTTTAATTCAATTTTTCTACCAGCCTGATGATGTTTCTAGCTTTTATCCGCGATTTCATTTAAATCCTAAATCTATTCTATATTATTAAAACTGTTACAGTAGTTTTACATAATCCATTCATTTGTTTTTTTTTAGATAAAGTACCAACATCACAATCCATACGTTTATAATTTTATCTAGGCATACAGTGTGAGTCACGTTAAAGTGTACATATGAAAATAGATGAAACTAGACCTATTTTTATCGACAAAAAAGAGGTCAAAAAATTTTTGAGTTTTTTTATTTATTTTTTTATAGAATTTTTTTTCTTCCAATTACTTATTGTAAAGAAAACGTAATAAATTTTAAACTAAGCCGTATATCCTGATAAAATAAAAACAGTAATAATGCTAGATAACAGTCGATACTAAAAAAATACATAAAATACACAAAAAAGGCCAATAAATAATAAAAAATGATACTTTTTGAAAAAAATCTGCTTTTAAATTCGTGTTTTTTTGGTTATTTGATAAATTTCTTCAAAAAATGCCCCTATAACCGGTGGTTTTTACTACTTTGTATTATTCTCTATCGTATTACCTTCGTAAAAACAAAAATCGCATGTCTCTATCCCTATCACAACATTTGCAATGATGATGATGATGAATGTAAGAAGAAGAAGAAAAAAAAAATCTCAAAAAAATTTTGACCTCTTTTTTGTCGATAAACATAAGTCTAATTTCATCTATTTTCATATGTACACTTTAACGTGACTCACACTGTATAACCAACATGTCGATCCATGCGTTGACAATACCTATATGTAAATGAATGTATGCTTATCTGCATTAAACATAATGTATTTTTAATGCGTCAATAGATACCAACTGCCACGTACCCCACAAAGTCTTACGAGCGTGTCAGTGTTGGTTCCCCAACACGCGTTAAAGATATTGTATGAAATTCCCCTCAACTAGAGGGATGGGTAACACTGCGCTACTGGCGCGCTCTTCAGAGGCCCGAGTGTGTGTGAGTTTACATCAAAGTTTAAAAAATGTATGAAATTTTTAGTTTTTGAACGNTTTAATTTTTTCACGCTAGGGGCGTTGTACAATCCGTCATACATTTAGGCTGGGTTGCACCACCTTACTTTGACCGTAACTATAACGATAACCGGTGCTTTTTGTATGGATTTTGACAGATTTTTGACGTTTGTCAAAGTTAAAGTAAGATGGTGCAACCCAGCCTTAATGTCTTTTTGGCGCGCTTATTATTATATTATATATATTTGTATAGAGAACAATAGTGTCTAGACAAACCTAAAAAGGATTTAGGACGCTATTTGGATCAAATATGTAATTGCTCAATAATGAATAATAAATAAAATAAATAAAATAAAATAAATTAGTGAGCGCGTTTGATTTTTAAACTCACACTTGGCCCTCTGTTGAATAGCGCAGGGCAAATTGCGCAGTTACTCCATAAAGTTTGTATGGAACCCATGTTTGAAGTCACTTTCAAGTGATATTACTTCAAAATTCATCTTCATAGTCGTCGTCGTTTAAAAAGCAAAGAATTTTCGAAATTTTCTCAATAACTCTGAGCTTGTGAAATTTGGAGTTACCCATCTCTAATGGAGCAATAAGCGTTATGTTATCGTTCGCTCATACCAGCATCGTTGCTTCACGAACTGTTAGCTACATTGTCACACACTTTAGGTTAGAATTCCTTGGCCTAATTTGTATTGTCTTTGTGTACCTGAATTATTATATACCTAATATAAATAAATAAATAAATTCAAAGGGGAATTTGTAACAAGTTATTTATTAGGGCTTTGTAAAAAACTGAACACAATGAACTAAGTCCTTGGAAAACAGCTCACAAGCTATGCAATAAATAAATAATAAAACAAATTGCTTCTTTTGAATAGCATAGTTTTGATAGAAGCAAATACCGGGAGCGCGCGACCCGACATGGTAGAAATATTAAATTGTGGGATCAGAGCATTTTAATTGAATCCAAACACAATCACCTTCTGGCCTTGCCCCTTAATCCCCGACGCAGAAAATAATACGGGAGATTTGTTGGGAAATTAATTTGTTCTTTATGTACCTTTGTAAGTTATAGGTCCCTCTTGGAAACACGTTTTTAGGATTCCGTACGAAAAGGGTAAACTTTTCCACAACGAGGAAGCTCTGGCCACCTGATGGAAGCGAGCTTTACGGGATTCATGGAGAGAAGTCAAACCTTAATTTCGAACTCCTTCTATGTTCTTCTGATTAATTTCGTTGTGGGTCCATTGACAGTTTAACTTTCCACCGGAACAAACTTGACCTTCACTGGTTGGGTTTTAATGGCGGTCAAGCTTGAGATCCTGGCTACACAGGAGTTGCAGCGGTTGGAACGAGAGGTCTCGAAAGCGAGCTTCACCTGGAAATCGGAATCCTGAACCACCCCATTACGTTGTGCATTTTGGCCAAAGCAATTAGTGCTGATATAAATTAATAACAGACTGTCAAAAGTTCTTCGTCTATGTTTTTAATCTCGCCAAACTAGATAGATACCTATAAAATAACTATCTCACAGCTGCACGAGTCTCCAAACGCCTTGTTTAAAGATTAAAACGAATGAATGACTTTGCAACAAAGTTTATAATTTTGAATTTAGTTGTCCAATTGCAGACAATAATCTCTCCTTTATTTCGAATGATCAAAATACAAAATACTATGATCATTATAAATCCCACACCTGTAAGTCTAGGATGCGCGCCGTGATAATAATATTTTATTATGCTTTTCGCGCCATTTTATCGATTTTACTTGATAAGCCCATACAGAAACAGATGTCGTCATAATATTTTATCATGGCGCGCATCCTAGCCCGACTGATGTGTTTAGAAAAATCTCAAAAATATATTTGGAGATAAAATATATCGAACAAAGCCCCGAATCAATAGAGCCGAACTGATGGCAGTGAGTAATCCAAAGAATTTTCACGTCGAAACTCCGAATAGAGAGTGATTAATATGGACAAAAATAATTTCATCGAATATCCGCTAACTTATTTTTGGCACGAGTAAATGAATATTTTGACTATAATAGTGTGATATTAATTAATATTATGAATGAGTAATAAAATATTTTACGGTTCCTTCAAACTTTTGGTACCTACAACGAAATCTCTATTGTGTTTTGTTCAGAGCGATCTTCAGAAATTAATAACTAGGTATTGTATCTACGAGGTATTTAAGGTTTGTAACCTAGGTGTATCCTTAAAAGTGGTTGAATTTTTTAAAATCTTCATTTCTTAAGATTGCTTGGAACATTTGCTCGATAACTTAAATTGAGTTATGTAAGTAAGTACTATTTGCTTGATACAGACTTAAGACGAGTTTCTAAGCGCTGACCCACTTGTGCTGTGCTGTGCTGCACTTGCTGATAACAAGCTTTGACAGCCACGGCTTAGGGTCAGTGCGAATCAGTACCTATCAAGCTGCACAACGAACGACAGCAGGGCAGACCTGACAAGCCAGGTACACAATACTAAGGCTGAGTTGCACCACCTAACTTTGACCGTAACTTTAACGATAACCGGTATTTTTGTACGGAGCTTACAGATTTTTACGTTTGTCAAAGTTCGGATTGTGGTGAAAATAAGTTGCAGAAGAAACTCACTCATCTTTGCCAAACTCTAATTTAATAAATAAGATAATCTATATTATATGTATAAAATCGAAAGGTCACTGACTGACTCACTCATCACGAAACCTCAGACACTATTGGAGAAGGAGTCTCAAATTTTGCATGGGCGATTACTAAAAGGAATTTAGAACGTGTGCTCACTAAGACTGGATTTTACAAAATTCAATCCCAAGAGGGTAAAATGGGATCCACGCGTACGAAGTCGCGGGCGGCTGCTATAGTAATTATGTAATATTAACAAGTGCAACAGACACAAATTAGCATTTATTTTAGGTTATTTAAATTTAATAATATCCATGCTGCAAAGTCACCTTTATTATTGTCGATAAAATTAATATTCATCAAGGACACAATACGAGTCACGGAATGAAAAAAGAAGCTTAAGCCTAGGCACAAACCATCGATTTTTCGTCGGCCGATAGTTTAGTCGGGCAGTTGATCAGTATGGGCATGTATGGAAGTGCAAACACTACGCCGATTTGATTTGGCCGATTCTTCATACAAATTAAAATCGGGCCCAACTATCGGCCAACTGAAAATCGGTGGTCTGCGTCTAGACTAAATCATCAAAAACCAGCTAAGGTACAATCGACAGCATACATATTAAAAACTGTCGAAGTATGAGATTTGCCGCGGTGCATAATTTTGGAAGATGCCGGATAGACGATTTTGACCTTGACTTTTTGACCCAACTAGATGAGAATTGAATATAGGCTGCGGATACAATATAATATTCTGTTCGTCAGTTAGGGTTTCAAAAAAACTTATGAGCCGCTGTGTCTTGATATTTCATCTGTCATGATCATCATGGTATTAAACGACTCTTCACGTTCTCAGAAGCCGGAGATCATCTGAACTGGTTAAAATACAAAATTGAGAATAAAACAAAAGCATCGTGTGCGTGTGCTTACAGCCTTATGAATGTATATTTTATTTTATTATGTAAACGAAACAGGATGATTTTGGAACAACCAGTTAATTATGTTTTTGTGTGATCATATAATAAAAAAATATAATATATCCATCACTTTATAAGCCTGGATCACCACTGCTGCGTCTCATTTCGTTCGTTTCGTTTGCGACTGACAGCTACATTCAAAAAAGAAAATATGAAATCGGTGAGTAAGTTTTCAAAAATAAGCTAGGTATTTAAATATCCTAATCACCATTAGATACCTTCCAAGTGTATTATTTTATTTATTAAAGCTAAGACGGTTTTAAAGCTAGGATGGTTCAAGTGTAAGTGAATGAAAAGGCAAGGTTATGACCTCAAATGTAGTTGTTTTCACTGTAGTGATTTTTTCTTCCTATTTCAGATAATCCCACTGTGTCTACTTGCCCTGTCTGTGGCCCAGGACACCCAGGATGAAGAGGATAAACGTCTCCCGTACACAGTAAAATAACGCTCAATAACAACCTTATTTACAAAAATAGGGTATTGTATAGTCAGTTCGTGACACGCAAAGTAGCAAAAAGTTCGCAACACGTCTTTGTTACTTAGAATCGGGATGTGTCATTTGGCAAAAAAACTTATTGCAAACTTTTAATTCGCAAATGTCGTTTTTGGCATATTATTGTTTAGGAAATTATTGTTTGGCAAAGTATGTTTTACCAAATGTTTCATTTGGCAAAAATATTTCACTTTATAAAACAATTTGATTGGTGCATAGAATGGAATACAAATTAGCTTGTGGTTATTATTTTGTTTAGTGGGTAGTTAATATACTAACATTTGTTCTAAATTAATTTTCATATTTCATTCTTTTTATCGAAATTTCCAAATGATTCATTAACAATAGAGGTGATTCTAGCGCTCGGCGGCCGCTGCCGCGGCACGCTCACTTCGCCTACTTCGCTTCGCTCGCTCCGTTCGCTCGACTTCGCGCGTTAAGGGTCACTGTTCTTTTCTTTTTTTTTTTCGGGGAAAAAATGCGTTGAATCGCATACCTACCCTGCGGGGACAGGGTAGGTTATGTGGGGCTCACCAAGTCAGAAGGACGAGGCATACCCACTAAAAAGACCCCGGTGCTCCGTCACTCGCCATAAGTGGGAGGAAACTGTGGGTTTCCGGACAAAGCCTTCTCTACCACAGCCCCTCCCGGCGATTGCCCGCCTACACGGCGGGCCCTACAAGCCCCCCGGGACGGGGGGCGACAGGAGCAGCTGGAAGCACACAGCTGTTTCCGTCCGACAGTGGTGGTGGCCTGTGCAATGCAGGCGGGGGCGCCGCCACGCCTCCGGCCCGCTGGCCATCACCGAGGAGAGGAAACTGGAGGCGATCATATTGTCGCCTCCTCTGACCCCTCCGCCGTCGCCGGAGCGCGGGCGCGTTTGGATCATCCTCGCGCTCTCGCTCCGCGGCCTCCTTCTGAGACATCACGTCTTCACAGAAGGAGGCCATTGCCACCCAGGCCTCGTTACTGTCCAGCATAGCTTTGACTATACTGGGCAGCACAAGGTCCCGGCCTACCGCCGCGATAAGCGTATTGCGCTGTGGAGCCCACGCCGCACATACCGCAAGGGTATGGTGTGTCGTGTCCTCCGCACCGCCGCGACACGCGTGGCAGGACGGCGTCTCTTCCCTTCCAATGCGGTGCAGATATTATGAGCCAAAGCATCCGTGCCCGGTCAACACCTGCACCAAATGGAAGGAAAGGTACCCATGCGGGCGCTCGAGCCACCTTTCTATGGTCGGCGCGAGCGCATCCAAGGTTCGGCGGCCCGACTCGGCAACGGCGAGGTGGTCTGCCCACTGCTGGACCACAGTTTCACGAGGCTCGCGCCGAACCGCCTCCCTCTCCTCGAAGGCGGGGTGTTCGCCCCGCTCCTTCTGGGCCGCCATCCATCTGTAAACGGCGGCCTGGAAAGGGTCACTGTTCTAACCTAACCTACTATTTTCTGCAATACCTACTTTCTGCAACCATACTGTTTTCTGCAATCTCTTTGTTTTACATAAAATTCTTGTGAAAACCACGATCATGTGCCATAATAGACTAAGAGCTAGTGAACGCCAGACCTACGTTATTTTATAAAGGCTGAAAGTTTGTCAGCGCATGCTCCCAACATAGCTAAGAACCATGGCCATACTTACGTCATACTATAAAAGCTAATATTTACATAAAATATTGTCTGTAATATGTCTCACAGTTTCGCTGAAACAATCCTTTCACGTAACACGTTTACACTTTTTATCTCTTCTGCGCATACCAGGTCGTTTCAAGTCACTCCAAAAATAATAGTCCATTGGTGTTAGGTCCGAGGATCGTGGTGGCCAAGCTACTGGACCCCCTCGTCCAATCCACTGTTCACCAAACGTATTATTCGCGCACTTGACGTCCTTATTGTGGGGGAGCACCATCCTGCTGGTAGTAGAGCATTTGGTGTAACGCTAAGGGTACGTCATCAAGCATTTCGTTTAAGACGTCTTGCAGACACTCCAAGCACCATTTTGATTAAATTATTCGTTGTTTTAATACACTTCAGTCATTTTTGTATTAATTATAACGTGATTTGTGATTGATGGATTTCTCAGTTTTTTACAAGTGTCAAAAAGACATTTTAAAGACAATAGATTGCAATAGATATTTAAAAATACAATAAAAAGTAAAAAAGTCTCCATCGCCAACGCTAACAAGTGATGTGCATGCGTTACGATAGTTAGTGATGTGTTTAACAGATTGTCGATAAAATAAAATATTCAAAATTAAAAATCAAAATTTTCGGGCATTATTTTTTAACGGATTTGTGTTCAGTATCAGTAATATAGTTACCTCTGTAAATATGGCAAGAATGCAAAGTAACACCCTGTATAATATACTGGTTAAAGAATTGTCCTCCAACTCCTAAGCCTTAAGGAGTTGTACTTACCTTCCATCATCGGCTCATCAACATGAGATCATGATTTACAGACTCAAATACTTGAGTAACTTAAGAAAAAGTACAAAAAACAATATTTCTAGTGCCTCGCGTTCGCACTTTCAGCGACCCTAAAAGCTGTCTGGCAAGGCGAAGGAACCATCAGAAGTATCTGGCTGATGAGGAAACTTCATCAAATGATAGTTCAAATTGTATTTTATGTAAATATTAGCTTTTATAGTATGACGTAAGTAGGACTACATTTTCATGAACTTTAAGGTGTCTGGCTAAGGGCTGCCACCATGGTCAGTGTCTGTCAATGAATGACGTCATTTCTAATAACATTTTGAAGGAAATATCAAAAAATTAGCCTTTATACTTTGACGTAATTAAGTTGGTATTTTACACACCTTTAGTACCGTCTGTCTGCCAAAGCCACCATGACCCAAACTTCATGTTTGGCCATGGTTCTTAGCTATGTTGGGAGCATGCGCTGACAAACTTTCAGCCTTTATAAAATAACGTAGGTCTGGCGTTCACTAGCTCTTAGTCTATAAGCTTTGATTTGTGGGGAACGGTGGGTAAGTATGTGAAGTGTCAATTTGACCAAACAAATTATTTGGGATATAATATTTGGCAAAATAAAACATTTGCTATTTAAACATTTGCTATTTAAACATTTGCCAAGTAAAATTTGGCCAAATGAGAATTTGACCAAATGAATTAGTTGCGAAAAGTACAGTTGCTAAAAGTTCATTTGGGAAATGAAACTTTGGCGATAAGTTGTTTGCGAAGTGAAATTTGCCGAAAAGTTATTTGGCCAAACGGAAGGATACCGTACATGAGTACTTACAGCTTACGTTTCGGCTGTGTTGTACATCAGCATGGAATTGGTAGAATGCAGTGCTAGTTTTTAATGTAAAGCGCGAGTATTGTCGTCAAGTACAAACCCAGATATTGTGTGTCATAATCACATCTCTAGTACTGTATAAATGAAATCTGAGTGGCTTTTTAATTCCCATAATTTGGAAATTCAGTTTTGAGCGTTGTCTTATTGTGAACAGTGTTATGTGAACGAAGTAAATGCCACGATTGATCGTTACCGCGAGACTGAGTCAAACACTACCTCCCACCATTTCGTGTGAGTATGCTCTTTACTCACAAAATTGCTATTTTGTGTGCAGAATTTATCTATTTTTAGGGTGCTGTACCTCAAATGGAAAATACACAACCTTAAAAAACCTTATGAACACTTTGTTGACCGTCCGTCTTTCTGTCTGTCAACATGCAAGACTGCTTTGACAGATAACTTTATACAGGGTGGAAACGTTAAGTGATCTCACTCGATTATTTCTAATCTATACAAGATATTGAAAAACTGGTTACTGATCCTGAAAGTGCTTCATGAGCTCTTTCAAATGGTTTCAATAATAGGTCACAGAATAGTGAGATCACTTATCGTTTCTTTCCACCCTGTATAAGTTCTTTTGGTGTTTGTTTATTCCTAACGTGATAATGTTCATTTTCAGCTTCAACGAAAACGGCACCATGTATGAAGCTGATGGCTATATCATAAACGAAGACAGCGACGGTGAATACCTGAAAGTATTTGGTTTAGTTTATTCCTGGGACAAAGGACAAATACCATCCCATTTTAAGGATTACTACCGCCAGTATTTTGAAGATAAGAAGGGATATACACCTGATCTCCAATTGCGATGCCCAATAATTTTGAGTGCTCCTATCGGTGTTCTTCAAAGTCTTGTTCTCGGAAAATAGATGCAGTTTGTTTTTTTAATTAAACACACCTTACTATAATATTTATTGTTTTATTTCTTTTACTAGCTTTCCGCCCGCGGCTTCGCCTTTATCTAACTTTATCGCGCGCGTCCCTGTTTCAAAAACTGGGATAAAAACTATCCTATGTCCTTTTCCGGGACTTAAACTATCTATATGCCAAATTTAATCAAAATCGGTTCAGTGGTTTAGGCGTGAAAGCAAGACAGACAGACAGATAGACAGACAGACAGACTGAGTGACTGTACAAAATACATTAAAAATCAAAATCTTGCAGTAAGAAAATGCAGCTTACAGTAAGAAAACGCAGGTTAACGAGTAACAGTCTGAATGGATGGGATTTTTTTTCCCAGTGAGTAACTGAACAGTGTTACTCGTTTGGGTGTGACTCGTTGGGAACAAGCTCTATCCCTTAGGGGGCGTCCATAAATTACGTGAGACAATTTTGGCCATTTTTCAACCCCCCCGCCCCCCTTGGTGAGATTTGGTGAGATTTTGCCTGACCCCCTCCCCCACCCCCCTAATCTCACGTGATATTTAATAAAATGCCTATTTTGCAATGTCTATGCTTCGATTCTATTAGATTTATATAAAAAAATCAGTATCCCAGTGTCGTGCCACNCCTAATCTCACGTGATATTTAATAAAATGCCTATTTTGCAATGTCTATGCTTCGATTCTATTAGATTTATATAAAAAAATCAGTATCCCAGTGTCGTGCCACGCGCAATGCAGTGCAGGGTTCCGTAGCTACCCGTCGTTTAGTAAGACAAGCAATTGCTTCAACCTAGGACCAGTTTTTTGATTCATAGTTAAAATAACTAATTGTTAAATGGCAATGCCAGATTTTGTATGGAATGTGGCGTCTTTTTTTTTTCGCGCGGCCATCGACCAAACTTTGTTTTTTTGATTACAAAATAGTGTAATAAACCAAACTTACTATGACAAGTATACCTCTAAACTCAGTCTGAACTGAGTTACGAGCGTTAGAAGTTTGATGATTTACATACTAGATTTGCTTTTTGCGCGCAAGTTTAAGAAATTGCAACAGGAGACAAGAAATTGCTTTATTTTATCAGGATATACCGCTTAGTTTAAAAGTTATTACGTTTTCTTTACAATAAGTAATTGGAAGAAAAAAAATTCTATAAAAATTTTAAAAAAATCTCAAAAAATTTTTGACCTCATCTATTTTCATATGTACACTTTAACGTGACTCACACTGTATTAATCACGCCGACAAAACCGTAAAATAAAATTTTGAAAAAAAGTAAAATTTCTAGGGTAGCTCCCCTGCATGTAAAGTGGGGATGAATTTTTTAAAGGAAAACTATAACGGTTAAGATACATTACTTAGTTTAAGAGTAATAGTCATTTGACTCATGTATTATAAAATTTCTTAACCAGTAAAAATTCCTTAGAAGAAAATATGCAAAGTGACTTTAGATGAAGTAATTGCTTGCTTCTGAAATATATTGTGGTAACGACAGACAACTACGGAACCCTACACTGCGCGTGCCACGACACGCACTTGGCCAATTTTTACGCAATAGCGATGCCGATGACGTTTTTTTTTAATTTCGAATTTTCTTAATTTCGACATTTATTCTGCATCTTTAGTGTTCACAAAAGCAGATGGAGGCATTTTTAGTTTAATTTCATTAGACGGTTTAGAATAAATTGTTATTATCATCATAAAAAAAAACTTTTTTTTTACTTTAATAACCCAGTTTTCTGGCAATTTTACTCTATTTCTTCGGTAAAAATTACGTGATATTTTCCGAGACCCCCCCTCTCCCCCACGTGAGATTTAGTGAGGTTTTCTTTGACCCCCTCCCCCCCCTAAAAGTCTCACGTAATTTATGGACGCCCCCTTACGATAGAAAAGGCGAATTGGTCACCGTTTTTCAAATCTATAACGTAACGGTAACGTAACGTACCTAGTATTTCGGCTCTTCTGTATTGCCACTAGTTGTTCAAGAGTCCTCCCAACAGAAGGCTTGATGTTGAATGTATCAATTATTTCCATCCTCACCCGAAAACCAGTCGCGGGTAAGAATAGGAACATGAAAAAAAAATGTATAAGAGACAGATAAAAGTGACTATCACATCCCAATTCCTTTTTCAATGTCCTCTGATAATAATATAAAGTTACGGACCTACTATACAGAGTTATTTTTGTATTTAAAAAGTTGATTAGATTGGACACCTACTCACTAGACGGAACAGTACAAAAAAGCGTAGTACCAAACTTATTTTGTGAGTATTTATTCAGAAAATACAAAAGTCTGTTTCATTTTCGTTTGGTTTATCATTTATTCAGGAATCGCAATTATTTGGAGAAGCAACAAGTGTGACGTCAGAACTCCTTGGAACTAATATGGCGGCCATTACTCGGGATCCAAACTTTAGGCAAGTTGAAGGACTAAGCTTAGACCCGTGTATTTTATAAAGTGATGTTTACAAGAAGACCGAAATATCGCCACTTACTCACACAACTGCATATCTGGGCAAATATAGTTTGCCCTCCTTTGGGACAACATATCGGATTGTGGTGAGAATAAGTCGCAGAAGAAACTCACTCATCTTTGCCAAACTCTAATTCAATAAATAAGATAATCTATATTATATGCATAAAAACGAAAGGTCACTGACTGACTCACTTATCACGAAACCTCAGACACTATTGGAGAAGGAGTCTCAAATTTTGCATGGGGGATTACTAAAAGGAATTTAGAACGTGTGCTCACCATAAAGTTAATATTCCTTCGGAATAGAGCAACAATCACGAGCTGTCAAACGAAACCAAAAATGAGATGTCATATATGTGTGTAAAAATAAATATGTGTGCATGTCAGTGATGTATGTCGTTACTTTTCACATGAATATCGATATCGATTAAATATTAATTAACACCTAACAGTAATAATATAAATAGAATAGGATGGAATGGGATTGTAGGTATATGGGAATTGGGAGAGTGGCCTAAGAAAATAAAAAAAAATGTCATGGATGAAATTACACTAAAAACTAATTAAAACAAAAAGGATGGGGAAAATATTCCATTATTCTGTGGTAACGCTAACAAAATTAACGCGTGAATTTTTTATAGACAAATGTAATTCAATATAAAAAAGTAGGGTAAAATATTCCGTTGACCTGTGGCAACACTTACAAAATACAACCGTGATTTTTTTTTTAAATTATTATTTAATTAAAATGAATTGGAAATGTGCTACTTACGGATAAAACATGATCCCATGCACTTTCTTCGTAATTCCAGTAGCATTCTTACATGTTGGAACGGCACAAGACGGCATAATTTAATTATAAAGTGTCAATCTGACGGATATGTAAACAATGCGCGCGCCGGCCATTGACTAATTGCTCTAAAGTCAAATTAGTGCGATTTGGAGTAATTTATATGAATACACATTTACGCCCGTTGACGGTTTCTGGTTTGTTCCGTATTCTGAGGATTTTACGATATTTTTATAAAAAACTATGAATTAAAATTTTCTTTGTGCCTCTTAGTGTCACTGCCTGTCAAATCTTTTGCAAAAATGGTTCTATTGACGTGACGATGACAGCATCACACATCTCTTTTTATCACACAGGGTTGCAGATAGTGACATCTCGCTCGCTCATTCTTTGTTGCTCTATTCCGAAGGAATATTAACTTTATGGTGCTCACTAAGACTGGATTTTGCAAAATTCAACCCCAAGAGGGTAAAACGGGATCCACGCGGACGAAGTCGCGGGCGGCTACTATAGTAATTATGTAATATTAACAAGTGCAACAAACAGACAAATTGGCATTTATTTTAGGTTATTTAAATTTAATAATATCGATGCTGCAAAGTCACCTTTATTGTTGTCGATAAAATTAATATTCATCAAGGATACAATACGAGTCACGGAATGAACCGCCCCGGGTGCCAAGCATTAGGGGGTGACACAAGTCGCGCAGATTAGTACTCATCACACTACATTATGGCAAGTCTGCGGTCTATGTCATGATACGGGGGGGTGCGATTGTCTTTAATCTTCGAATCGGTAGGTAACCCCATAATACTGGGGGGTACCAGGGGGTGCCTTAGGACTTATGACTTGTGATCGCCCCGGGTGCCAACCCATGCTACGCCGCCACTGCAGCACTGTTGCCGCGGTGCATAATTTTGGAAGATGCCGGATAGACGATTTTGACCTTGACTTTTTGACCCAACTAGATGAGAATTGAATATAGGCTGCCGCTGTGTGTTGATGATTCATCTGTCATGATCATCATGGTATTAAACGACTCTACATGTTCTCAGAAGCCGAAGATCATCTGAACTGGTTAACATGCAAAATTGAGAATAAATCAAAAGCATCGTGTGCGTGTGCTTACAGCCTTATGAATGATTTTGGAACAACCAGATTATTATGTTTTTGTGTGATCATTATAATAAAAAAAAATATCCATCACTTTATAAGCCGGATCACCACTGCTAGGTCTCATTTTGTTCGTTTCGTTTGCGACAGACAGCTACATTCAAAAAATAAAATATGAAATCGGTGAGTAAGTTTTCAAAAATAAGCTACCTACGCATTTAAATAAATATAATAGATACATCCCAAGTGTATTATTGGTTTTAAAGCTAGGATGGTTCAAGTGTAAGTGAATTAAACGCCAAGGTTATGACCTCAAATGTGATTGTTTTCACTGTAGTGATTTTTTTTCCTATTTCAGATAATCCCACTGTGTCTACTTGCCCTGTCTGTGGCCCAGGACACCCAGGATGAAGAGGGTGAACATCTTCCGTACACAGTAAAATAACGCTCAATAACAACTTTATTTACAAAAATAGGGTATTGTACAGTCAGTTCGTGATACGCAAAGTAGCAAAAAGTTCGCAACACGTCTTTGTTACTTGGAATCGGGATGTGTTGTCAACTTTTTGGCCACTTTTGTGGTGTCACGAACGATTTGACGCTAAGTACCTGTACGTTAAAAACCTACCCCTTACTAATAAAACTTACACGCTCGTTGAACAGTGTTTTAAAGTGGCGTTTAGTATGGAAATGTCATTTTAAAACAGTGTTCAACAACTGTGACTTACTTGACTTGACTTTATTTAGTAAGGAGGGTGAATGTTCAAGATCCCTCATTTAAAAATATTCTCCACAAACTCAAAGCATTTTAGTAAATCTATCTATGACACCCGATAGTAAATACATGGGTACCTACTTACAACTTACGTTTTGGCTGTGTTGTTGCTACATCATCATGGAATTGGTAGAATCCAGTGATAGTTTATAATGAAAGCGCGAGTATTGCCGTCAAATACAAACCCAGATATTGCGTGTCATTATACGAGTAACATCTCTAGTACTGTATAAATGAAATCTGAGTGGCTTTTTAATTCCCATAAATTGGAAATTCAGTTTTGAGCGTTGTCTTATTGTGAACAGTGTTATGTGTACGAATTAAATGCCACGATTGATTATCATCGCGACGCTGACTTAAAAAACAGTACCTCCCACCATTTCATGTGAGTGTGTTCTTTACTTACAAAATTGCTATTTAATGTGCAGAATTTATAGATTTTTAGGGTGCTGTATCTCAAATGAAAAATACACAACCTTAAAAAACCCTATAATGATCACTTTGTTGACCGAAATAGGGTTCTGTCAGTCAAAAAGCAAGACACTTTATCGCGGGAACGCGTGGAGGTAGGTATCAAGTTGAAATTAAAACGATATAAGGTCTATCTATAGCCTGTTGAAGCTGTGAAAAAATCTAACTTCTAAGTTAACACAAAAAAAGATTATTTTTGTATAAAAATAACCTTTTACGGAACCCTCGGTGGGCGAGTCAGACTCGCCCAAGTCCGTTTTTTTTTTCATACAAAAATTTGTGAATTACCAAGCGAATTTTCAAACTAAAAATTATCTTAAGCCCTAGTTGATCTTTCAATAAAGTTAAAACCTCTTCACTTAAAACTTTGTATCAGTTCTTCTTTTGGTGTTTGTTCATTCCTAACGTGATAATATTCATTTTCAGCTTTAGCGAAAAGGGCACCATTTATGAAGCTGATGGCTATATCATAAACGAAGACAGCGACGCTGAATACCTGAAAGTATTTGGTTTAGGCTCTATCTGGACTACAATAAAAATTTCATCAATCTTTGAGGATTATTACCGCCAGTATATTAAAGATCAGAAGGGATATACACCTCATCTCGAAAGGGAATGCTCAACAAATTGAATGCTCATTGATATGAGTATAAGACCACACAAAACTGATGTCTTGTTCAAAGGCTTGTTGGCGGAAAATATATGCAAATTGTTTTTTTAATTAAATACACATACTATTTATTGTTTTATTTCTTTTACTAGCTTTCCGCCCGCAGCTTCGCCCGCGTGGAATTTTTGCTCACAGAAAAACTTTATCGCGAGCGTCCCTGTTTCAAAAACCGGGATAAAAACTATCCTATGTCTTTCCCGGGACTCAAACTATCTCTATGCCAAATTTCATCAAAATCGGTTCAGTGGTTTAGGCGTGAAAGCAAGACAGAGAGACAGACTGAGTTACTGTACAAAACATATTGAAAATCAAAATTTTGTAGTAAGAACGAGTAACAATCTGAATGGATGGGATTTTTTTTCCCAGTGAGTAACTGAGCAGTGTTACTCGTTTGGGTGTGACTCGTTGGGAACAAGCGCTATCCCTTACGATAGAAAAGGCGAACTGGTCACCGTTTTTCAAATCTATAAGGTAACGTAACGTAGTATTTCGGCTCTTCTGTATTGCCACTAGTTGTTCAAGAGTCCTCCCAGCAGAAGGCTTGATGTTGAATGTATTAATTATTTCCTAAACCTAACCCAGTCGCGGGTAAGAATAGGAACTTGAAAAAAAATTGTTTTGTTCACATACCTGCGTTCCTAACTCATACAATTATCTTTTACATATACTAATATTCGTCTAAATTCCAAGTCTAAATTAGTTTAGAGTTTTTGAGGAGAATTAAAAAAAGGGTGTGATTTGTAAAACAACGCCCATCTCAGGGGTGGTAGAACTGGTAGAACACATGAAAGTAATTACAAGAAAAAACATTTTTTTTTTCATCAATGTCGTGTATACTACCACTCCTGAGATGGGCGTTATTTTACAAAACCACACCTGTATAAGAGACAGATAAAAGTGACTATCACATCCCAATTCCTTTTTCAATGTCCTCTGATAATAATATAAAGTTACGGACCTACTATACAGAGTTATTTTTGCATTTAAAAAGTTGATTAGATTGGACACCTACTCACTAGATGAACCAGTAGAAAAAAGCGTAGTACCAAACTTATTTGTGAGTATTTATATTGTATTTATTCAGAAAATATAAAAGTCTGTTTCATTTTCTTTTGGTTTATCATTTATTCAGGAATCGCAGACATTTGGAGAGGCAACAAGTGTGACGTCAGAACTCGTTGGAACAGACAAATATGGCGGCCATTACTCGGGATCCAAACTTTAGGCAAGTTGAAGGACTAAGCTTTGACCCGTGTATTTTATAAAGTGATGTTTACAAGAAGACCGAAATATCTCCACTTACTCACACAACTGCATATCTGGGCAAATATAGTTTGCCCTCCTTTGGGACAACATATCGGATTGTGGTGAGAATAAGTCGGAGAAGAAACTCACTCATCTTTGCCAAACTCTAATTCAATAAAAATAAAATAAAAATAAATATCCTTGGACATTTAACACTGCGCTTCTAGTCCAAAACTAAGCAAAGCTTGTACTATGGGTACTAGACAACGGATATAAACATACTTAAATACTTTTTTTTTGTAAATACATACTTAATATACATAGAAAACACCCAGACCCGTCACAGAAATCAAAATTCATCATTTCAATTTCTGCCCGGCCGGGAATCGAACCCGGGACCTCTCGGCATAGTAGTCCGTTCTGAACCACTACACCAATCGGCCGACTTAATAATAAATAAGATAATCTATATTATATGTATAAAAACGAAAGGTCACTGACTGACTCACTCATCACGAAACCTCAGACACTATTGAAGAAGGAGTCTCAAATTTTGCATGGGGGATTACTAAAAGGAATTTAGAACGTGTGCTCACTAAGACTGGATTTTGCAAAATTCAACCCCAAGAGGGTAAAATGGGATCCACGCGTATGAAGTCGCGGGCGGCTACTATAGTAATTATGTAATATTAACAATTGCAACAAACAGACAAATTGGCATTTATTTTAGGTTATTTAAATTTAATAATATCGATGCTGCAAAGTCACCTTTATTGTTGTCGATAAAATTAATATTCATCAAGGATACAATACGAGTCACGGAATGAAAAAAAAGCTTAAGCCTAGGCGCAGACCATCGATTTTTCGTCGGCCGATAGTTTAGTCGCACAGTTGATCAGTTTGGGCGCGTATGGAAGTGCGCACATTATACCGATTTGATTTGGCCGATTCTTCAAACAAAATAAAATCGGGCCCAATTGGTGGTCTGCGCCTAGTATAAATCATAAAAAACCAGCTAAGGTACAATCGACAGCATACATATTTAAAAACTGTAGAAGTATGAAATTTTCCGCGGTGCATAATTTTTTGACCTTGACTTTTTGACCCAACTAGAGGAGAATTGAATATAGGCTGCGGATACAATAAAATATTCTGTTCGTCATGTTAGGGTGTCAAGAAAACTTATGAGCCGCTGTGTCTTGATGATTCATCTGTCATGATCATCATGGTATTAAACGACTCTGCATGTTCTCAGAAGCCGGAGATCATCTGAACTATGGTTAATATACAAAATTAAGAATAAATCAAAAGCATCGTGTGCGTGTGCTTACAGCCTTATGAATGTTTATTTTATTTTATTTGTAAACGAAACAGGAAGATTTTGGAACAACCAGTTTATTATGTTTTTGTGTGATCATTAATAAAATAAATATACAGGGTGTCCCAAAAACAATGGATAACCCTGTAACCATCGATAGGCCTCGCCATGGTCTCCCTAACGTCCAATTTTGACTCCAGTAAAAANCATCCTCACCCGAAAACCTAACCCAGTCGCGGGTAAGAATAGGAACATGAAAAAAAATTGTTTTGTTCACATGCCTGCATTCCTAACTCATATATCTTTAACCTAATATACCGATATTCGGCTAAATTCCAAGTCTAAATTTAGAGTTTTTGGCGAGAATTAAATACAGGGTGTGATTTGTAAAACAATGCCTATCTCAGGGGTGGTAGTAATCACATGAAAGTAATTACAAGAAAAATAAAATTTCTTTGGCATCAATGTCATGTATACTACCACTCCTGAGATGGGCGTTGTTTTACAAAACCACACCCTGTATAAGAGACAGATAAAAGTGACTATCACATCCCAATTCCTTTTTCAATGTCCTCTGATAATAATATAAGGTTACGGACCTACTTTACAGAGTAATTATTTATGCATTTAAAAAGTTGATTAAATTGGACACCTACTCACTAGACGGAACAGTACAAAAAAGCGTAGTACCAAACTTATTTTGTGAGTATTTATTCAGAAAATACAAAAGTCTGTTTCATTTTCGTTTGGTTTATCATTTATTCGGGAATCGCAGACATTTGGAGAGGCAACAAGTGTGACGTCAGAACTCGTTGGAACAGACAAATATGGCGGCCATTACTCGGGATCCAAACTTAAGGCAAGTTGAAGGACTAAACTTATACCGTGCTTAGACCGTGTATTTTATAAAGTGATGTTTACAACAAGACCGAAATATCGCCACTTACTCACGCAACTGCATATCTGGGCAAATATAGTTCGCCCTCCTTTGGGACAACATATCGGATTGTAGTGAGAATAAGTCGCAGAAGAAACTCACTCATCTTTGCCAAACTCTAATTTAATAAATAAGATAATCTATATTATATGTATAAAAACGAAAGGTCACTGACTGACTCACTCATCACGAAACCTCAGACACTATTGGAGAAGGAGTCTCAAATTTTGCATGGGGGATTACTAAAAGGAATTTAGAACGTGTGCTCACTAAGACTGGATTTTGCAAAATTCAACCCCAAGAGGGTAAAATGGGATCCACGCGTATGAAGTCGCGGGCGGCTACTATAGTAATTATGTAATATTAACAAGTGCAACAAACAGACAAATTGGCATTTATTTTAGGTTATTTAAATTTAACAATATCGATTCTGCAAAGTCACCTTTATTGTTGTCGATAAAATTAATATTCATCAAGGATACAATACGAGTCACGGAATGAAAAAAAAGCTTATAATATAGCCTAGGCGCAGACCATCGATTTTTCGTCGGCCGATAGTTTAGTCGGGCAGTTGATCAGTATGGGCATGTATGGAAGTGCGCACATTATACCGATTTGATTTGGCCGATTCTTCAAACAAAATAAAATCGGGCCCAACTGGTGGTCTGCGCCTAGTATAAATCATAAAAAACCAGCTAAGGTACAATCGACAGCATACCTTATTTAAAAACTGTTGAAGTATGAAATTTTCCGCGGTGCATAATTTTTTGACCTTGACTTTTTGACCTAACTAAAGGAGAATTGAATATAGGCTGCGGATACAATAAAATATTCTGTTCGTCATGTTAGGGTGTCTGAGCCGCTGTGTCTAGATGATTCATCTGTCATGATTATCATGGTATTAAACGACTCTGCATGTTCTCAGAAGCCGGAGATCATCTGAACTGGTTAACAGACAAAATTAAGAATAAATCAAAAGCATCGTGCGCGTGTGCTTACAGCCTTATGAATGTGTATTTTATTTTATTTGCAAACGAAACAGGAAGATTTTGGAACAACCAGATTATTATGTTTTTGTGTGATCATTAATAAAATAAATATATACCCATCACTTTATAAGCCGGATCACCACTGCTAGGTCTCATTTTGTTCGTTTCGTTTGCAACAGACAGCTACATTCAAAAAATAAAATATGAAATCGGTGAGTAAGTTTTCAAAAATAAGCTACGCATTTAAATATCCTAATCACCATTAGATACCTCCCAAGTGTATTATTTTATTTATTAAAGCTAAGTTGGTTTTAAAGCTAAGATGGTTCAAGTGTAAGTGAATTAAACGCCAAGGTCATGACGTCAAATGTGATTGTTTTCACTGTAGTGATTTTTTCTTCCTATTTCAGATAATCCCACTGTGTCTACTTGCCCTGTCTGTGGCCCAGGACACCCAGGATGAAGAGGGTGAACATCTTCCGTACACAGTAAAATAACGCTCAATAACAACTTTATTTACATAAATAGGGTATTGTACAGTCAGTTCGTGACACGCAAAGTAGCAAAAAATTCGCAACAC